GCACAGTATTATATGCTTGTTATCGTCTCTCAGAGCAGATACAGGTAAATCAATGTCTTGATAGTGAATATGACTTCATCTGGACATTTGGGACTTTTCCTCCACAACCCCAGGAGTGTCCTATGGATCAATTAACAAGTATGTTTAGTGGTGAGGTTTATAGGAAAACACCTATTGAGTAACCAAAATGGAATGTTTGCATAATTAATGAAATGACAAGGCACTGGCCATAGGCACTGCCCAAAACTTTACTTAAAAAATCTGTACCACTCCCATTGTAAGTATTTCCTCATCTTCTTTGACAACAACAGCCGGACATAAAGCTCAACCTTTGGACGTAATGCTCAACTTGTTTCTCTGACTATAGGGGTTTTCCAGAGGAAAGAATGATCAGGACTGACAGGTTGTTTGATGACAAGCAGTAGATTTCAACCTAAGAAACCTAAGAGTCATTCATAGTATACAGTGGGGAGACGAAGTATTTGATACACTGCCAATTTTGCAGGTTTTCCTACTTACAAAGCATGTAGAGGTCTGTAATTTTTATCATAGGTACACTTCAACTGTGAGACGGAATCTAAAACAACAATCCAGAAAATCACATTGTATGATTTTTAAGTAATGAATTTGCATTTTATTGCATGACATAAGTATTTGATCACCTACCAACCAGTAAGAATTCCGGCTCTCACAGACCTGTTAGTTTTTCTTTAAGAAGCCCTCCTGTTCTCCACTCATTACCTGTATTAACTGCACCTGTTTGAACTTGTTACCTGTATAAAAGACACCTGTCCACACACTCAATGAAACAGACTCCAACCTCTCCACAATGGCCAAGACCAGAGAGCTGTGTAAGGACATGAGGGATAAAATTGTAGACCTGCACAAGGCTGGGATGGGCTACAGGACAATAGGCAAGCAGCTTGGTGAGAAGGCAACAACTGTTGGCACAATTATTAGAAAATGGAAGAAGTTCAAGATGACGGTCAATCACCCTCGGTCTGGGGCTCCATGCAAGATCTCACCTCGTGGGACATCAATGATCATGAGGAAGGTGAGGGATCAGCCCAGAACTACACGGCAGGACCTGGTTAATGACCTGAAGAGAGCTGGGACCACAGTCTCAAAGAAAACCATTAGTAACACACTACGCCGTCATGGATTAAAATCCTGCAGCGCATGCAAGGTCCCCCTGCTCAAGCCAGCGCATGTCCAGGCCCATCTGAAGTTTGCCAATGACCATCTGGATGATCCAGAGGAGGAATGGGAGAAGGTCATGTGGTCTGATGAGACAAAAATATCGCTTTTTGGTCTAAACTCCACTCGCCGTGTTTGGAGGAAGAAGAAGGATGAGTACAACCCCAAGAACACCATCCCAACCGTGAAGCATGGAGGTGGAAACATCATTCTTTGGGGATGGTTTTCTGCAAAGGGGACAGGACAACTGCACCGTATTGAGGGGAGGATGGATGGGGCCATGTATCGCGAGATCTTGGCCAACAACCTCCTTCCCTCAGTAAGAGCATTGAAGATGGGTCGTGGCTGGGTCTTCCAGCATGACAACGACCCGAAACACACAGCCAGGGCAACTAAGGAGTGGCTCCGTAAGAAGCATCTCAAGGTCCTGGAGTGGCCTAGCCAGTCTCCAGACCTGAACCCAATAGAAAATATTTTGAGGGAGCTGAAAGTCCGTATTGCCCAGCGACAGCCCCGAAACCAATCAAATCAAATACTTATGTCATGCAATAAAATGCTAATTAATTACTTATTTTTCTGGATTTTTCTCACAGTTGAAGTGTACCTATGATAAAAAAAATACAGACCTCTACATGCTTTGTAAGTAGAAAAACCTGCAAAATCGGCAGTGTATCAAATACTTGTTCTCCCCACTGTATATACAGTGCTATGAAAAAGTATTTGCCACCTTTCTAATTTTCTCTACTTTTGCATATTTGTGATACTGAATGTTATCAGATCTTCAACCAAAACCTAATATTAGATAAAGGGAACATAAGTGAACAAATAACACAACAATTACATATTTATTTCATAAACAAAGTTATGCAACACCCAATTCCCCTGTGTGAAAAGTAATTGACCCCTTACACTCAATAACTGGTTGTGCCACCTTTAGCTGCAATGACTCCAACCAAATGCTTCCTGTAGTTGTTGATCAGTCTCTCACTTCGCTGTGGAGTAATTTTGGCCCACTCTTCCATGCAGAACTGCTTTAACTCAATGACGTGTGGGTTTTCAAGCATGAACTGCTCGATTCAAGTCCTGCCACAATATTTCAATTGGGATTAGGTCTGAACTTAGACAAGACAATGATCCAAAACACACAATCAAGTCTACATGAAAATTGCTAAAAAGCAACAAATTTGACGTTTTGGAATGGCCTAGTAAAAATTTGATTTACACAACATGCCTACCACTTTGAAGATGCAAATTATTTTTTATTTTGTAACAAACAAGAAATAAGACAAAAAAACGGAAATCTTGAGCGTGCGTAACTATTCACCCCCCCCCCAAAGTCAATATTTTGTAGAGCCACCTTTTGCAGCAATTACAGCTGCAAGTCCCTTCGGGTATGTCTCTATATGCTTGGCACATCTAGCCACTGGGATTTTTGACCATTCTTCAAGGCAAAACTGCTCCAGCTCCTTCAAGTTGGATGGGTTCCGCTGGTGTACAGAAATCTTTAAGTCATACCACAGATTGTCAATTGGATTGTGGTCTGGGCTTTGACTAGGCCATTCCAAGACATTTAAATGTTTCCCCTTAAACCACTTGAGTGTTGCTTTAGCAGTATTCTTAGGATTATTGTCCTGCTGGAAGGTGAACCTCCGTCCCAGTCTCAAATCTCTGGAAGACTGAAACAGGTTTCCCACAAGAATTTCCCTGTATTTAGCGCCATCCATCATTCCTTCAATTCTGACCAGTTTCCCAGTCCCTGCCGATGGAAAACATCCCCACAGCATGATGCTGCCACCACCATGCTTCACTGTGGGGATGGTGTTCTCAGGGAGATGAGAGGTGTTGGGTTTGCGCCAGACATAGCGTTTTCCTTGATGGCCAAAAACCTCTATTTTAGTCTCATCTGACCAGAGTACCGTCTTCCATATTTACATTTACATTTTAGCAGACGCTCTTATCCAGAGCGACTTACAGTTAGTGAATACATATTTTTTTATTCTGGCCCCCCGTGGGAATCGAACCCACAACCCTGGTGTTGCAAACGCCATGCTCTATAAACGGAGCTACATCCCTGCCGGCCATTCCCTCCCCTACCCTGGACGACGCTGGGCCAATTGTGCGCCGCCCATGAGTCTCCCGGTCGCGGCCGGCTGCGACAGAGCCTGGATACGAACCAGGATCTCTAGTGGCACAGTTAGCACTGCGATGCAGTGCCTTAGACCACTGCGCCACTCAGGAGACATTCGAGACACATTCCATATGTTTGTGGAGTCTCTCACATGGCTTTTGGCAAACACCATTTCTTTAAGCAATGGCTTTTTTCTGGCCACTCTTCCGTAAAGCCCAGCTCTGTGGAGTGTACGGCTTAAAGTGGTCCTATGGACAGATACTCCAATCTCCGCTGTGAAGCTTTGCAGCTCCTTCAGAGTTATCTTTGGTCTCTTTGTTGCATCTTCAGATGAGTCCCATGGGGCTTGTGGGGGTCGTAGAGCAAAACGGAGAACACCATTCTGATGCAACAGAAGTTTTCGTGAGAAGACCGATTCTCGGGATGTCTCATGGTCTGACAAACACCACTGTAGTTCGGACACCTTTCACCGCAGATGCAGAAGGCTAACATAGGTTTGATTGAGACGCAGCCCATGCAACAAAAAAACAAACAGATATCTCTAGTTTAAACTGGCGGATTTTGATGGGGATTTTTCATTATGTCACTTAAATTGATGCACAGGTGCGTCAATAGACTCTTAAGGATTTTAAAGGGGTCCAACAGTAGCTTTCATTTTCACCTCATGTTCCTCAATTATGAAGTACATAAGTGTTCCACTCAAGGATTCCAGGCTAATTTAAGTGCACCTCTTATTAAGTGCATGTTCAAAGTCCTTGTGCAATCATTCCTAATCACATTTGAATAAAACATACAAATAAAAAACGAAATGTGTTATGTTAGATGATAATAAAGGCTGTAAGGTTAAAAGTCCCTTGTTGAGTGCTCTTACAAAACATCAGCAGACTGTATGCCGCCATGCTTTGTGATAACTTGTGATCGGATCTGTAAGCAAAATAAAACAATTAACTTACATTTGATAGATCAATTGATTGATCAAAATAGATTTGTATCAAATAATGTTGGCTAAATGTTACACCAGCACATATATTTTTCTCAAACTATAGTGTTGCAATAATAACTTGGTGCTTTAAAAGGTTGAGGATAATGTTTTACTTTCATGTAGATGCAGTTACGCAATTATAGCCCATTTTACCTGGGCCCTGTCACAAACAAATTAGGGTGCGAATCTGAAAACGGGAGGAGTTATGTGAGATAGAGAGTTTACAACAAACCTGAAGATCCAAGAGCAGAATGGAGAGGGCAGCAGTGTGAGAGGACTAGGAGACTTGTGAAGTGGCAATCTTTTCCAGCTGATTTACAATGTTGAACCTATGTTTAAAAATACCTTGACAACTGAGCTGGATAGCGGCGACCTTTCGGGCTTGGCCTACCAATGTGTCTTTATTTCTTGTGACACTAAACGCGTAAATGATGGCTATTTAGGTTTTTGAGTTCATCGCGGTTTTCTTTTCACGCCGATGAGAAAGTGAAAGGGAGAAAAGAGGAAACACATTCTTACCAAAATGAACAAGGTCAGTTTTCATGATTCTTTATCTCTCAATATAATAGCAAATTCTCCAAATAAACAAAAGCAATCCGTTTTTATAATTCATCGGTGTCATATTTTATCCCCATCCATTCTAAAGACTAGCTAGCACATTCGATTAATCGAGACTAGCTTCTACTGCATCTTCTAGACGGAAGGTTAACAACAGTGGTCATTCTTCGGTTCTCGTCGTCAACGTCTTAAAATAATGGATGGAACGGGAGAAAAAAGAGGCAAACGTTCGTGTTTTTAATTGAATCAATTGTCTGTATTTAATAACTAACTTCGCTAACTACATTGGGCAAGTTAGGGTTTAGTGCAGCTCGAGCCTAGATCGAACACAAGACTAGCTAAAAGCGCGAGCCGTTTCCGCGTACGGTTAGAACAGGTGCATCTCGCTCGGTCGTGTCGGCTTGCGGTTCTTTGCATATTTGTTACCAAAACAATCCGTTCGTGTTCAAAAATGTATTTTCACAGTTGGGAAGGGTTGCTTTGCGATGGACGTTTTGTAAGTGCCTAAAAAAAGCTAGCAATGGCCTGCTTCTGTAACGTTATCTAGCTAGCTACTTAGCTTGTTGTAGCTAGCTAACGTTAGCTAGCTAGTTAGCGGACCACCCGAAACGGGGCAAGCAGAACCCTCCTTGTAATGGAATGACAGAATTACTTTTATTTTTTTTGTATCTGGACTTTTTCGAGAATTCAAGGTTCAATCATTTATTCTGCTACCATTCCAGATAACCTAATTTAGTAACTAGGTTTGTTTGCCAGTGCTGTGAATATTATGTCTGTCTATGGCGAATAGAAACGTATTAATGTATTTTTAGCGCGCATATTTTAAATACAGGGAACCTTTATTCATTTGACCTAGCTACGCTAGCATGTAACTAGTTATTTAATCTAGTACTAAACTACGTTAGTTACATTGTCTCACCTTGCTACAGTTGATCATTTGGCTTTCAGACCTAACTAGCTAGCTAAATTAGTTGTTCACTCAATATGACGTTCCTTATTGTCATATTGGCTACTGTCTTACAATTTGAATCACATTAAATTGCTGCTTGATTGGATTTCACAGCAACATTAGCTAAGCTACATTCCCCTTTTACACTTAGTTAGCCTACATATCCTTATACAAAGGTCAACATTGAATAACCTACTTACTTGCTAGCTAAGTTACTTTCAACTATGTTGTTCAATGGTTGGGGTCTGACTGGGTAACAGAGGGAACATCCAATCGTCTGAGATTGCAAGGCAAGCTTGTCTTGTGGAAATGTTTAATATTCAGATCATGTACTATCCAGTGGCTGCTTTGGTGGACGTGGGATACGTCAATTCAATTTGCTCTGAATGCCACTGTTCATTTGAGGCCTAATTATTTTGGATGGTTTCAAGGTATTTCCTCTGTACAGAGGCAAATGATTGTAAAGGGGAGTTACTGATATAATTTCATGTAAACTCTTCCTCCTTGGTTGGAACTGTATGGAGCAGACATCCTTTCTACATTGGGATGAACACGGCTATATTATTCTGACTGCAAATATGGTAGGAAATCATCGGCACGGTAATAACATTTGCTATACCTTACACAAGGCATTCAAGGCCTAACATAATTATGTGCGCTGCCCCACTGCCTTATTTAATTTATTTAAAAAAATACTTAATTTTAGTTTAAAGTTGAACCAATTGTTCTGTGTTATTGTGTGAGTGGAGTTGAGATTTAGTAGCTGGTTGGTTGTGATTTAGGCCACTGACCTTCCCAAATGAAAATGTTACCTAATTGCAACCTTACCGAACTTGACTTTGCGTTCTTAGAAGTATCAATTTTACAAAGCTAGTTAGTTTGTTAGGTGCTCCTTGGATTTTTGTTGAATTTAAAGCACCAGCTGTTGAACAGATTTCCAAGACTGGGCTAACTGAGATTTCCAACTAGGGTTTATGTCAAAGATCTATGTTCTCAGGGATGGGCACGACTGTTGGACAACTGAAAATATGCATTTGTTTTAGAAGGAGAACAGACGGACACATGAGTTATAATCTACTCACAGGTCTTTACCATTTAAACTAACACGTCTCAAACTCCTTACGAAATTCACTGCTTTTGTGTTTGTTTTCGTTGCCTCATATTCCTCCTTGCTATTGCACTGTAGCTAGGTATGGCGCGAACAGCAACACGTACAATACTTTTCTTGTTTGTTTGGGAAATGGGCCTTGAAATGAATCCTTGGTTTGAACACATGATTGAATCATGTTCAGGAAATTGGAACATAATAGAATCTAGGCCACAGTGAGTAGCGAGCTCACTTTGCACACTGTGGCACAAATAACGTTTTTGCCTGTGTAGATTATTGCAAGGTGTAGGTATTGGCTGAATAAAATATAAACACTGTTTTATGTAAACATGGCAGGTGTGTTACTTGTTTGTGCTCTTACATATTAAGTAGAGGGAAAGTGAATTGGCTGTTCGATCCTAGCAGTCCATAATGTAGGCCTGTTTTTTATGTGGACTTCACCAGCCTCTTCTAATATAGGCCTTCCCCTGCCAGTTTGCCAGCTTGGCCTTGTCTATCTTAAGGAGGCAGCTATAGAAAGGGACTGTACTGTGTTTTCTATTCAGACTGCTCTGAGTCAGGGGTTACTAGCGGAAGGGAGGCGAGAGCCTCATGCAAGGAGGGAGAGTGCAGACCATAGATTCGTCTCTGGTAGTGGTTTGATTATGATCTCTGATCTAGCCTACATCTGCATGTCTCAAAAAGGTTGCGGAATAAGTAATCAGATCAGACTCTGGTCTTAGGTGAAACGAGGATGACTAACTAGTTCAGAGTATTAAGCTACAGCTGTCATGGTTTACAGCTTCAGAAAGGGTGGGTAGTGGACCTAAAAAACACCAAAGAGCCATCTACTGGTCAAACAAATGGTTAAAAATCTTCTCAAGTTGAAAAGTAGATGACTGACAACTCAGTCTAAGAGGGATTTAAGAATTTGCCAATTGTACAATTGCTTCAAATTTGGCTACATCAACAATTGGGAAATGTGTAGCTGCCCTTGCAGCGGTACATTTTTGAATAAGCCATGCATTTGAGATGGTGGCGTGTGTGTCTGCATCCAGCACTGCAGATTATATGCAGGATAGTGCCGAGCGAAGGAACCCTGTGGATGGGGCTTAATGGAACATTCTCTCTTACCCAGCTGGTGATCTAGTCATAACAATCTCCTTCTATGGCAAAAACGGCAGTGCTTTCTGTTGGCAATGGTCTACAGTGAGGGGAAAAAAGTATTTGATCCCCTGCTGATTTTGTACGTTTGCCCACTGACAAAGAAATGATCAGTCTATAATTTTAATGGTAGGTTTATTTGAACAGTGAGAGACAGAATAACAACAAAAAAATCCTAAAAAACGCATGTCAAAAATGTTATAAATTGATTTGCATTTTAAGGAGGGAAATAAGTATTTGACCCCCTCTCAATCAGAAAGATTTCTGGCTCCCAGGTGTCTTTTTATACAGGTAACGAGCTGAGATTAGGAGCACACTCTTAAAGGGAGTGCTCCTAATCTCAGCTTGTTACCTGTATAAAAGACACCTGTCCACAGAAGCAATCAATCAATCAGATTTCAAACTCTCCACCATGGCCAAGACCAAAGAGCTCTCCAAGGATGTCAGGGACAAGATTGTAGACCTACACAAGGCTGGAATGGGCTACAAGACCATCGCCAAGCAGCTTGGTGAGAAGGTGACAACAGTTGGTGCGATTATTCGCAAATGGAAGAAACACAAAAGACCTGTCAATCTCCCTCGGCCTGGGGATCCATGCAAGATCTCACCTTGTGGAGTTGCAATGATCATGAGAACGGTGAGGAATCAGCCCAGAACTACACGGGAGGATCTTGTCAATGATCTCAAGGCAGCTGGGACCATAGTCACCAAGAAAACAATTGGTAACACACTACGCCGTGAAGGACTGAAATCCTGCAGCGCCCGCAAGGTCCCCCTGCTCAAGAAAGCACATATACAGGGCCGTCTGAAGTTTGCCAATGAACATCTGAATGATTCAGAGGAGAACTGGGTGAAAGTGTTGTGGTCAGATGAGACCAAAATCAAGCTCTTTGGCATCAACTCAACTCGCCGTGTTTGGAGGAGGAGGAATGCTGCCTATGACCCCAAGAACACCATCCCTACCGTCAAACATGGAGGTGGAAACATTATGCTTTGGGGGTGTTTTTCTGCTAAGGGGACAGGACAACTTCACCGCAACAAAGGGACGATGGACGGGACCATGTACCGTCAAATCTTGGGTGAGAACCTCCTTCCCTCAGCCAGGGCATTGAAAATGGGTCGTGGATGGGTATTCCAGCATGACAATGACTCAAAACACACGGCCAAGGCAACAAAGGAGTGGCTCAAGAAGAAGCACATTAAGGTCCTGGAGTGGCCTAGCCAGTCTCCAGACCTTAATCCCATAGAAAATATGTGGAGGGAGCTGAAGGTTCGAGTTGCCAAACGTCAGGCTCTAAACCTTAATGACTTGGAGAAGATCTGCAAAGAGGAGTGGAACAAAATCCCTCCTGAGATGTGTGCAAACCTGGTGGCCAACTACAAGAAACGTCTGACCTCTGTGATTGCCAACAAGGGTTTTTCCACCAAGTACTAAGTAATGTTTTGTAGAGAGGTCAAATACTTATTTCCCTCATTAAAATGCATTTTATTTATTTTTTTACATGCGTTTTTCTGGATATTTTTGTTGTTATTCTCTCTCACTGTTCAAATTAACCTACCATTAAAATTATAGACTGATCATGTCTTTGTCAGTGGGCCAACTTACAAAATCAGCAGGGGATCAAATACTTTTTTCCCTCACTGTACCTACTTCTGTAAAGATATCCATCTCTACCTACTTCTGTAAAGATATCCATCTCTACCTACTTCTGTAGAGATATCCATCTCTTTAAAATGTATAAAGTATATAAATAAATGGGCCATAACTGACATTTAAAAGTCTGAAATATAGGGCCTCCCGAGTGGCTCAGCGGTCTAAGGCACAAACGGCCGTGACCGGGAGTCCCATAGGGCGGCGCACAATTGGCTCAGCGTCGTCTGGGTTAGGGGAGGGTTTGGCCGGGGGGGCTTTACTTGGCTCATCGCGCTCTAGTGACTCCTTTTGGCAGGACGGGCGCCTGCAGGCTGACTTCGGTCGTCAGTTGAACTGTGTTTCCTCCGACACATTGGTGCAGCTGGCTTCCGGGTTAAGCGGGCGGGTGTTAAGGAGCGTAATGTTTCGGAGGACGCATGACTCGACCTTCACCTCTCCCGAGCCCGTTGGAGAGTTGCAGCGATGAGACAAGATCGTAATTGAAATTGGGAGAAAAAAGGGGTAAAATAAAGTCTGAAATATTGAATGAATAGGCCTAAAAACATTCAACTTTTCATTCCCCACTCAAACAATCAACTCTAATCTTTGACTGTACACTCACTGAATCACTATGAGTGAAGGCTCCCTTGGAAAACACTTAGCCCTAACTTTAGATGATTTGCTGACTTTGCATCTAAGTTGAGGTTCTGCCATCGATCGCGTCTGATAGCGAAAGCAATGTGATGACAGGGTTTGGCCTCAGCAGCGTTGGCCAGGCCGGCGGCGCAGAGTGAACAGACCAGGGATCCTGACCCTCCCTTCTCTCTTTGAGTTTCTTTAAAGGCTGAATGATGTTGGCAGGTGTTTTAAAAGGGGAGAGAAAATGCTTAGATGCATTTGTATGGTAAGCCTTATCAGTTGCCTTTGGGGTTTGATGAAGGTAGAATGAATATTGGAGTGTCAGACAGACCAAAGGGGAATCAAAGCTATGCTTGTCTGTGGTGCTGAACTTTCTCATTCTCTTTTAATTGGCTTTTCCAAAAGGTGGTGTAAGGACAGGCTTTTAAAGATCCCTCTGAATAAGTTCACGCTGAACACAACTGATTAGATTGGAGAAAATGAGATCTATAGGAACAGTACAACCATGCAATAACTGCTGTCAGTGTTGTAAAGAGTAATTTTCCCGTTTAGGCCATATAAATGCTCATTTCCATTTGAATTCTGCTGCGAAAGATGGTCTGTTTTAGTCCTGATGAGCTGACGTCACAGCCTATGTTTGCTTGGCATTAGGATTCCAGGCGATTGGCTGACCCTGGGCTGCCCGTCTCTCAGCGCTACAGGATTGGGGTTGGCTGGGTCAGCACAGTGGAGGCTCTAATTCCCACCCCTAGGGCACCTAATTAAAACTTACAACCAAGACAAACAACCTTTGACTCTGTCTGCCATCTCACGAGAACTGCTATTCTGACATGCAAAGAGGAGATCAGTGGGAGATCAACATACCCTCTTAGCAAATAATTATGGCACAGCCTGTATCGGAATACTACTTCATGCTTGGTCTCCTGTATCAAAGCCTGTTTTTAGATTCTGCTTGTTCATTTAGTCAGGCCTCCCACTAGATTGCTAGTTCATAACTGCTCTGATAAAAGCAAAAAAACAAACTTTTGTCTCTATCCTGGGAATGTAAAATATGTATTAGCACTCAGTTTTGCCCCAGTCGTTTTGTTGTCATTTGTTAGGTTTGCCCACTTCATGGACCATTGCATTTAAATATTGTTGGTTAAAACTATTTTGCGCTCAATATTTTGTAAAACCCAACCCAGAATGTGTGCAGAGAATTTTCTTCGTTATTATACAGTATTGAAAAATGGTCTCGCTCGCACAAGCATGAGGTCTTTTGTGGAGGCAAATAATGCTTGATGAGTTTATTAATTTAAAAAACGATATCAGATTCTTACACGGGTTGTCTCTTTCTTTGCAGTGGCTGACTAACATGGCTGACTAACTACCTGCCTCAGACTCTCTTCATGGATAACAGAGGAAGACGACAAAGGAAACACAAAATAAAACCTAATTGATTATCAACAAAGACAAACATCCAGAGGAACCAACCCACCACCATCGTTCCATCACTGACTTCCAGTGCATGTGGCCCTGAAGTCGTTCTAAGGAGGAGGCGGGGAGCACATAGGCCTATCACTATGCACTGTAAACAGAGATGCTGGGACTGTGGAGGTGTGGGGAGAACCAGGCCTCCCCCAGGCAGGACTATCCCCCTGGTGCTGGGGCTACTGGTGGCCCTGGTCCAGGGAAGTGTGCCTGGGGAGGGCCTGGGGGAGATGTTGCCGGTGGACCTGGAAGCCTCCATGCACTCCTCTGTCCTCTCTGATCTGCAGGCTGCAGCCTCTGTAGCCACAGAGGGACCTCCCACGGGCATCCCAGAATCCCTGGCTGCAGTCACAGAGGTGGCCCCTGCAGGCATCCCAGACTCTTCAGCAGTGGTGGGCCAGGGGTTCCAGTTGAGGATTCCGCCTAGGGCGACGAATGGCAGTTGCAATGTTAAGGTAAGCACTGTCATAACTAGGACGTTCCTGCTGATTTAAATATCGTGACCCTCCCCACATACTGGTGGAGGATCTAATGGTGATAATCAAACCACAGCTGTAATGTCCAGATGAACACTGATAGTAATAGGATAAGAAGCACTGCTTCTTGCGCAAATAGATAGCCTACAGTTGTCTGTCCCGAGCTCACTGGTGCGGGAAACTCTGAGGGCCCAGAATATTTTATGCAATGTTGCGAGTTCGCTAGCGCAAGCTTTGGGCCGGACCCAAGTTAATAGTTGATACAATGTTTAAAGTTTGGCTACACATGGCCTGTCTGCAAATGTGATTTTATAGGATATTTATTTTTATCAGGATATTTTCTACCTGCAGGCTGCAATGTTTTTATTTGTTGGCTTTATGTAGGCTATTTTTACATAATTGGCAAAATAAGTTACTTTTTAGGTTTATCATTTTCATATAGATTTGGATAGAATTTTGATTAACCACATGACAATGATTTTGAGATATGAAGACGTTATTATAAATTAAATTGTTTCATGAAAATGTGTGTATGAAAACCATAACTGGCATGCAGATCGGTAGAAATGGTAAGATAAATTGGCATTCGACATGAGAAAGGTTGCCGACTCCTCATGTAGCCTAGTAATAATACAGTTGTATAGGGCTGTCCCCAACTTTAAAAAAGCTTGGTCGACCGAGAGTCGTCTGTTCTTTCGACCAATCGATTGGTTGAAATTTTAAGACGTGTATTTTTCCATATATACACACCCTATGTTTGATGCTTTAAACACTGCGATTAAAAATGAAGACACACAAATTACTAAAGAGGGAGCCAGAGATCAAGATAGCCTAACCAGAATTTTAAAAAACTGTTCCTGACCTGACCCTCTTCCTCCTCCTCCTGCTGCTGCTGGCCTTCGCAGATTCTGCCCGTTACGCTACTGAAGTTGCCGGTAATAGGCTACACCAGCAAATCTAAAAGTAACTTATATTGCCATTGCCAATATGTAAAAAGAGCCTACATAAGCCAACAAATAAAAACATTGCAGCCCCCAGGTAGAAAATATCCGGATTTAAAAAATAAATATCCTATAAATCACGTTGGCTACGCATGGCCTGTCTGCAAGGAACTTGAAACATTGTATCAACTATTAACTTGGTCCTGCCCAAAGCTTGTACTAGCAAACTTGCAACATTGTATAAAATATTCTGGGCCCTCAGAGTTTCCCGGAGCCAGTGAGCTCCAGACAGACCGACACAGCTGTAGGCTATATGCATAAGAAGTAATCAGGTAGGCCTATTTTGTGACGTTTCCACCGGCTACGTTGAGGAACTATTATCATTCTCAATGGATTTAAAAACAGACTTTGTTTACTTGCTGTTTTGAGGCGAAGAAGAAATTACTTTGAAGCTCCACAGTGATGGTGAGTTAAGACGATCAGAAATAGTATCAGATCCTCAAATGGGCACATTTATAGACCTGAGGTAGCCTTGGCCTACTTCTATGTGTAATCAGGTGCGTGTCCTTACTCAACATTTAACAGGAGAGCTCCAAACAAAAGACAATTCATAAATTGACAACTCCATAAATGGAATGAAATAAACCAAAACTTTCTCACAAGTGTAGCCTAGGTTGTGCACTCTGCAAACAACGTGTCCACTCCTACAATGACAACGGTAAGACTGTAATAATATATTGAATGCATTAACAAAAATTACCGTACCAAACAAACATTGTAGATTAGAAATTATGGTATCCTAATTAATGGTATATGTACTATTGGTGAGCAGGCAATGGATTAGTCCACTCAAATAATTGTTATATATTTGCAACTGCTCGACTAAAAAAATCTCGGTCGACCAACAGCCTATCGACCAGTCGACTAAATGGGGTCAGCCCTACAGTTGAAATATCTTAATCCTGATAGAATAGTAGTATCATGCAGTAAGGATCTCTGTGTGTGACCCGAAGAATCTGGCGGGACTGAATCAGTTTTAGTTCTGGGTTAACCGAGGAATATGCAGTTGGTAATCATCCACTATATGACCCTTACTCAATCGAAGCAACCTCTCTGTGCTGAAGGAGTGAAGTTTTTGTCTTTTACCAACATTAGGAAACCTGGTTATTGGTTTTGATTGAACAGGGCTCTCTAGAACTTACCTTTTTGTGTGCGGCTGTATTTCAATGAAAACTATGGCGTCCTTAATGCATCAGTAGACAAAAAGTGCTTTTTTATATGATGTATTGAAATGTGTGTGTTACATAACAACACACTGATGAGATCGTGCCATTGAATACATTTTATCCAATTTAACTTTATGATGATGTTAAGCTGCTCAGATGTTTATTGATTTCCTTTTATATGATGTAATATGCCAGTTTATAGGTTATATGTAGGGTTGCAAAATTCCTATAACTTTTTTTTATTAAATTCCCCTGGTTTTCCAGAAATCCTGGTTGGAGAATTCCCGGAATGAGGAGGGAATAAGCAGGAAATCCTCCAACCAGGATTTCTGGGAAAAAAACAGGGAATTTATTGAAAGTTCCTGGAATTTTGCAACCCTAGTTATACACAGAGTGTACAAAACATTAGGAACACCTGCTCTTTCCATGACATAGACAGACCAGGCGAATCCAGGTGAAAGCTATGATCCCTTATTGATGTCACTTGTTAAATCCACTTCAATCATTATAGATGACGGGGAAGGAGACAGGTTAAAGAAGGATTTTTAAGCCTTGAGACAATTGAGACATGGATTGTGTATGTGTGCCATTCAGAGGGTGAATGGGCAAGACAAAATATGCCTTTGAACAGGGCATGGTAGTAGGTGCCAGGTGCACCGGTTTGAGTGGGTCAAGAACTTCAACGCTGTTAGGTTTTTCATGCTCAACAGTTTCCCGTGTGTATCAAGAATGGTCCACCACCCAAAGGACATCCAGCCAACTTGACTGTGGGAAGCATTGGAGTCAATATGGGCCAGCATCCCTGTGGAATGCTTTCGACACATTGTAGAGTCCATGCCCCGATGAATTGAGACTGTTCTGAGGGCAAAAGGGGGTGTAACTCAATATTGGGAAGGGGTTCTTAATGTTTTGTACACTCAGTGTATAACATTCAACATGTCACTCTGTATGTTCCTCTACCTCATTTCTGTAATATTTTGTGCTCAACGGCTTGATCACAATAGTGTACCTCTTCCAGTCTTCCTGTCTATGCTGAAATAACAATGTGAGGAGGTTACCTTGCACAAAAGTCATCTCTCAAATTCTCTTTGGAACTGGGAACAGCTATTACAGCTGAGCAGAAAATTGCCTTCAATCTGTGTGGATGGAGAATGGTGGAAACAAAGCCTTTTTGGGCAGCATTGTAGTCCTGCTCAATAGGCTTAACTTTACATAACCCCAACTTTTCATTCTTTTCTATTTCCTATTCGCAGTTCTACCTCCCCAAGCCCGTATGGCCATTTTGAACCCTTCTGCAATTATTTATATTGGGTATTAAACATACTCTAGTCTAGATCATTCTGTTGCAGCAATTTGTTTCAGTCTTAGGCTTCTGAAGAGCTAGCCAAATATCCACATATTTGCAGTGCTATGTATGGAATGGATATGCGTCATATTAATTCCTCTCAGTGCGTTCTCTCACTGATTTACTGCTGATTTTAAGTTGATTGTTGTGCAATTTGTTCCACGAGGAGTTTATGAATGAGAAGAGTATTATTATTATTGGCTCCTTGTATTATTGGGAATAATATCCTGACAAATCATAATGTGTCTAAATGAAGGGCTGATGACTCAGGCTGCTGTCATTTTGTGAATAGGGGCTCACTGGGAGCCGAGCTTCCTGCTCACTTCGACAAGGGTCGGTAGAGACCGCAGTACAGACACAATGAGTCAATGAAAAATGTGAGACTGAGTTTTCCACATCAGGTCTGTCTGATAAACCCTTTCATCATAATACCCTTAAGATTACTGTACAGTTGGATAGGTTTTTATTGGCAGGATCAGCCTCTTGTGTGAAACACCCTGTCCTTTCAGAGTTTTGATCTATGAGCCATAACGTTTCCGTATCTCTAAACCTTTCTTCTTCTCTCCTATTGCAGTTAACTGAGGTGGGAAAGGAAAGCTTACCCTCCTGGCTGTACTGGGCCACAGGGAGCTGCATCCTACGAGGGCTGGCCCTGGAGCAGGACAGAGGTGTCCACCATATCTCCCTCTCTGGCTCTGAGATAAACAGTGGCCATGGCCTGGAGGTCTTCTCTATTGAGGTGCACCCAGAGGAGCGGGCCGACACTGAGCCGGCCCTGTTGGCTCTCCAGGCCGAGGCCAACAACCTCCAGCCCTTCACCTGCGGCAGCGAGGAGCCTGTCACTGTCCTCACCATCATCCTGGATGCTGACCTCACCAAGATGGACGCCCATCAGAGGGTAGGCCTGCTGGCCAGCATGAATAAGTTTTCCGGTGTCCCCCTGGAGCACATGAGGGTGGTCCCTGTCATCAACAACCGCCTGTTCGACATGTCCGCCTTCATGGCCGGGCCCGGAAATGCCAAGAAGGTGGTGGAGAATGGGGCCCTGTTGTCATGGAAGCTGGGCTGCGCACTGGACCAGTCCAACATTCCGAACATCAACAGCGTCCAATCACCTGCCAAGGACGGGTCCATGTCGTCCAATTTAGGCTACCCAGTGGTGGGCTGGCACATCGTCAACAAGAAGCCCCACGTGGTGAAACGGGTCAGGAGGCAGCTGGGAAACACCCCCACCCCTGTACCCTCCCTGCTCCCCCCAACCACTTACCCTGAGCCCCCTACTCGCATTGTTCCCACCCCCACATCCCCTTCCATCTCCCCAGCCACTGACAGCTCTGCCCCCCCTGTCCGTGGCCCCTTGCCCCTGCCGGTGATGCCCACTATCAGGCTGAGAGATCAGATAGCCCACACTCCTACTATTGGGGCTCCTCAGCCTACTAGGGTCCTGGGCACCACCAGTAACATCCCCATCCAGCCTACTATGACCCGGCCTGCTATTCCAGAGGCTACTGCTCTTCCCACCCCACCAAGCACCACTAGAAAGCCAAAGACCTCCACCACCAAGAAAACCAAGAAGCCCAAAACCTCCACTCCAGTGCCCAGAGAACCTAAGACCACCATGGCTAAGCCACCCAGACGCACCACCCCTCTGTCTGCTGTTCCTGACTACAACAACGAGAAGCCCCAGCTACGCAACCCCATCGATGAGGTGAATGCCTGGGTCGGGACCTACTTTGAGGTGAAGATTCCTCCAGATACCTTCTTTGACAAAGAGGATGGCACCACGGACAAGCTGCGTCTGACTCTGAGAAAGAACCACAACGAAGTGGTGAGTGAGACCTCTTGGATACAGTTTAACAGCACCATCCAGCTCCTGTACGGTCTCCCTGAGAAAGAACATGTGGGCAAACACGAGTACTTCATGCTGGCCACCGACAAGGCAGGCATGAGCACCATAGATGCCTTTGAGGTCCATGTCAACCGTTGGTCGGCCACCGACAAGCCCTCCGTTGTTTTCGCCGCCCGTTTCCATGGCGAACCCAAGACACTGACCAACAACGTCCACAAGAAGATCCTCCTGACTAAGAAGCTGGCGTATGCACTGGGCGACCGGAACACCAGCACGGTGACCCTGCGGAGCATCACCAAGGGCTCCATTGTGGTGGAGTGGACCAACAACAGCCTCCAGCAGAGCCCCTGTCCCAAAGACCAAATCACCGTCCTCAGCAGAAAGATATCCGACCCCCAGGGCAGGCCCACTCGGGCCTTCTCCAATGCCATGGAGCCAGACTTCAAACCCATCAACATCTCCGTCCGCGGCACCAACAAATGCCAGACCTACACGTTTGTGCCCCCAGGAGAGGTGATCATCCCTGTTCCCCCTCCAGCCACTCCTTCCCCTGGTACTGGTCGTAGCACCAGTGACGATGTTTACCTGCACACAGTCATCCCGGCTGTGGTAGTGGCGGCACTACTGCTGATCGCCGGCGTCATCGCCATGGTCTGCTACCGCAAGAAGCGCAAGGGCAAGATGAGCATTGAGGAGCAGGCCACCTTCATCAAGAAAGGCGTGCCCATCATCTTTGCAGACGAGCTGGACGACTCCAAGTCCCCCCCGTCCTCCAGTATCCCCCTCATCCTGCATGAGGAGAAGCCGCCCATGCCCCCTCCGGAGTACCCCAACATGGCTGGCCCTCACAGCACCCTGCTCAACCAGGATCTCCTGATGGAGGAGTACTCCATCTACCATGATGATGATGATGATGATGACCCCAACGCACCCCCCTATCAGCCCCCGCCACCCTTCACTGTCCCCATCGAGGGGAAAGGGTCCCGCCCCAAGAACATGACATCATACAGGTCACCACCTCCCTACGTGCCTCCCTAATGCTTACAGGAGCCTTGGCTTTGGGATGGAGGAGGGGTGCCGTGGTGACAGTTGTTTGTTTGAAAACAATTTACGGCGAAATTTTACACACACTGTACAGTGGGATGGCTTTGACATAGACTGAGTAGACAACCATGCCTGTATAAGTGACCACTATGGATAACGTACTGTATAAGTCTAATACTGGCACAGGAAAACTGGACAGAGACTGTTTGTAAACTCCAGCTCTCTTTCTTCTGTTGTCCTTCATAGTTATGCTTTCGACTCTTGCGTAATATTTTTTTTAAAAATCTGTTCTTGCCAAGAATAATCATTTTTATCTTTGAAGATGTACTGTTTCTATTGTATAGAAAATAATGCAAAAGCGAGAGAGACTGTAGGCTGCAGAGGCCTTGGAGCAAATGACAACAGACAACAGGCTCTCAAAGTTAATCTTTATACCAATTACAGTATATGACTTATCTGTCTTTGGGTTAATGTACTAGATTTTGCACCTGTTATTTTTAGAAGGTCGTCTAAGACAAAAAGTCAAACTAAAAACATGAAACCATTGTTTATTTACATAACCTTACATTGATATTCTCCTCTTTGTTTTTCCTTGTATGTTTTATCCCCTCTTTAAAATAACAGGTGTAAAACATGCACTGGTGTAGATGCCTAATAAAACTAGCCCTTTGTGTCTGGCAGAATGGAACATTCTAACTGGTAGCCTAAAAAGGATTCTATTTTTTTTTTTTTTTTTTACACAATGTGACTGAAATATTCTCTGCTATACAGGTACTGTACTTGATCAACAAGTAAATCATAGACTGATAGTGAGTGACCACACTTGTTCTTAATGTAAGGGGATTACAAAACAGGAGTAATAACGACATCATAATCGGTGTATTAACTTGCCGCTGATCTCGCCCCTGAAGGTGCCTTTAGAAAGTATTCACACCCCTTGACTTTTTCCCAATTTTTGTTGTGTTACAGCCTGAATTTAAAATTGATTACATTTAGAGTTTGTGTCACTGGCTTACACACAATACCCTATAATGTGAAAGTGGAATTTTGTTTTTTTAGAATTTTAATAAAAAATGAAAAGCTAAAATGTCTTGAGTCAATAAGTATTCAACCCCTCTGTTATGGCAACCCTAATTAAGTTCCGGAGTAAAAATGTGCACTACAGTAAAACTGCAAAAAATGTGGCAAAGAAATTGTACTTTATGTCCTGAGTACAAGGCTCTTAGAAACTTACCCAGAAAGACTCACAGCTGTAATCTCTGCCAAAAGTGATTCTAACATCTATTGACTCAGGGGTGTGAATACTTATGTAAATGAGATTTCTGTATTTCATTTTCAATAAATTTGCAGAAATGTCTAAAAACAAGTTTTCACTTTTGTCATTATGGCTTATTGTGTGTAGATGGGTGAGCATTTTTATATTTAATACATTTTTCAATTGTAACAACAAAATGTGGAATAAGGGTATGAATACTTTCTGAAGGCACTGTACTATTCCAGGGTTGCCAAGGTAGTGATAAAGCAAAGCATTCCTGTTTTTTCCACCATAATGCTGGGTCAATGAGATGCTGTAACAAGGCAGCAGCGTGAACTGATGGAAGGAAAGAATTAGGCTACTAGATTGATCAACTGTTTGTTGGTGTTGACGTACGTCTCCCTTGGACCAGGTCTGTTGCAGAAGAGATTTTATCACAATGAGAAAATAACCTTAAGTAAATGAAATAAGAAAAGTGAGGGGGAACGTACAGTTCTGCAATATCAGTGCTCTCTGCCTCTATGCTGCTGCACTGTGTCGTTAGTCTCTCAGTCATCAGTTGTGAGACATGTGTATGTACATAATGGTGTGCCTGTGAAACTGAAGATCTCATCACGTTAATGTGTTTTATCAGTAGAGTTATGCTAGTGGGGGGGGAAATAATTTTATTTTAAATTGTTTGTCTAGATTTATGATCACACTGTCATAAAAAATAAATAAATAGTTTTAAGGGGACAAGGGGGCAAAAGAAAAGTTGACTTTCCCATCACTGAAAATATTGCATCCTGTAAAGAATACGTTGGGGGAGGAAGACAAGTGAATAATGTACGTTTCATATCTGATATCACCATAAGGAAAAATGGTTGAGAAAAAAATCTAATGTTTTTACTGAATTTTTGATACTGTCTCAAATTGTTTTATGAAAATATATTAATAAAGATGTACTACTATTTGTAAAGCCTCAAAGACCCTGTATTTTCCCCTTGGTCACTTTTTTTTTCCTCTGTGAAAAATTAATTGGATCACTATTGGGTGTGATTTCATCACGTTACCATTTCTTCTAGTTCACGCTTTGTAAACATTTTCTCACAGTTCATATATTAACACTTCCATGGGATTGGGTTATTAGCTCTGATTAATGTCTAGAATAGTAATATATATTACACTGTGTAGTTAAGACATTTTACATTGTTTCAGAATGTCAGTCACAATCATGATTGGATCAATATCTGATGTGAATCTCTTGCGGTTGAATGAATCAGCAACACATTTCTCGCTCCACAAGCTAGCTATCAGTATTTTTGATCATGTCTCATATTACTTTTCATAATCATAAACATACAGTGGGGGAAAAAAAAGTATTTAGTCAGCCACCAATTGTGCAAGTTCTCCCACTTAAAAAGATGAGAGAGGCCTGTAATTTTCATCATAGGTACACGTCAACTATGACAGACAAAATGTGATTTTTTTTCTCCAGAAAATCACATTGTAGGATTTCTAATGAATTTATTTGCAAATTATGGTGGAAAATAAGTATTTGGTCAATAACAAAAGTTTCTCAATACTTTGTTAAATACCCTTTGTTGGCAATGACACAGGTCAAACGTTTTCTGTAAGTCTTCACAAGGTTTTCACACACTGTTGCTGGTATTTTGGCCCATTCCTCCATGCAGATCTCTAGAGCAGTGATGTTTTGGGGCTGTCGCTGGGCAACACAGACTTTCAACTCCCTCCAAAGATTTTCTATGGGGTTGAGATCTGGAGACTGGCTAGGCCACTCCAGGACCTTGAAATGCTTCTTACGAAGCCACTCCTTCGTTGCCTGGGCGGTGTGTTTGGGATCATTGTCATGCTGAAAGACCCAGCCACGTTTCATCTTCAATGCCCTTGCTGATGGAAGGAGGTTTTCACTCAAAATCTCACGATACATGGCCCCATTCATTCTTTCCTTTACACGGATCAGTCGTCCTGGTCCCTTTGCAGAAAAACAGCCCCAAAGCATGATGTTTCCACCCCCATGCTTCAGAGTAGGTATGGTGTGCTTTGGATGCAACTCAGCATTCTTTGTCCTCCAAACACGACGAGTTTGAGTTTTTACCAAAAAGTTATATTTTGATTTCATCTGACCATATGACATTCTCCCAATCCTCTTCTGGATCATCCAAATGCACTCTAGCAAACTTCAGACGGGCCTGGACATGTACTGGCTTAAGCAAGGGGACTCGTCTTGCACTGCAGGATTTGAGTCCCTGGCGGCGTAGTGTGTTACTGATGGTAGGCTTTGTTACTTTGGTCCCAGCTCTCTGCAGGTCATTCACTAGGTCCCCCCGTGTGGTTCTGGGATTTTTGCTCACCGTTTTTGTGATCATTTTGACCCCACGGGGTGAGATCTTGCGTGGAGCCCCAGATCGAGGGAGATTATCAGTGGTCTTGTATGTCTTCCATTTCCTAATAATTGCTCCCACAGTTGATTTCTTCAAACCAAGCTGCTTACTTATTGCAGATTCAGTCTTCCCAGCCTGGTGCAGGTCTACAATTCTGTTTCTTTGACAGCTCTTTGGTCTTGGCCATAGTGGAGTTTGGAGTGTGACTGTTTGATGTTGTGGACAGGTGTCTTTTATACTGATAACAAGTTCAAACAGGTGTCATTAATACAGGTAACGAGTGGAGGATAGAGGAGCCTCTTAAAGAAGAAGTTACAGGTCTGTGAGAGCCAGAAATCTTGCTTGTTTGTAGGTGACCAACTACTTATTTTCCACCATAATTGCAAATAAATTCATTAAAAATCCTACAATTTGATTTTCTGGATTTTTTTTCCTCAATTTGTCTGTCATAGTTGACGTGTACCTATGATGAAAATTACAGGCCTCTCTCATCTTTTTAAGTGGGAGAACTTGCACAATTGGTGGCTGACTAAATACTTTTTTTCCCCACTGTATGTGTAGCTACATGTACCATGTGCTCATATTTGTTTTTGATTGAAGTGGTTGTCATGTAGTCTGCGTACCAGTCTTTTTAGCTAATATTCCACTCCTTGCCACTCATGTCTTTGGCAAATGACAGGAGTGGAATGATATTTAAAAAGACTGGTACCCAGGCTAGTTGTCATGGGCCTAATGCTGCACAACCTCTTAATAGGGAGGCACAACCTCTTAATTATTTTCACATGAACAGGTTACAAATGTTACAAATATGTATAATGAATGAAAATCAGAATCTCATTTAATCATACACATCGAACAAAGATGTGTATCAATATGAAGCTACTGCAAGCCAGAGGAGCTGTAGCACTTAAAATGCCCATATTAACCTTGGCCTAATATGTCGGTTTAATTAAACCTGCAGGTCTTTTGTACCTTTAGCACTAAATGTTGTCATCTTGTGAGAAACCACAAATGGAGTTACCCTGCTCATGTCTACTCTGCATTATTCATGACGATGGATTGGAAAGGTCTTTGTGTTTTACAAACGCCACTGTTTAAGTGCAAGTCCAATGACTGATAGATTAGGGCCAGTCAGGGCCGGCTCTAGCCTTTTGGGTGCTCTAGCCGAGATTTGGTTGATGGGTCCCCACGCCAAGCAGGCCCAGAAAATGTTTGACCCGCCTCTTAAGGGTGGAGATATAAAAAATATGTATTAAAGTTAATTTCCTGAAATTGTACACATTTTGCCATTGGGGCTTAGAGAAAATATTGCAGTTTTCTGCAGTTCTACACATTTTGCCATGGGTCGGAGAGAA